TTATCTCATCATTTGTCAAAAAAGTCCATAATGTGAAAAAGGTATATTTTCTTTAATATTTGATGTGCAGCATACAAATACTAAGACATAATTATTTTATGTGAAGTTATTATAAGGCATATTCGATGTCGTTATGGGCCTCAAAAAGCTCGGGACCTGCCTTGCTTCATAACCACAAAAATTAACAATACTCATAACCGCAAATTAACCATTGAGATTATCTATGACTATACCCACAAGGCAATGGATTTCCCATCGGTTAACTGTTATATCCATCTTCGTCAATACGAAAAATATATTCCTTCTATTTACGCATTATAATTTAGTAAAAATTAATTTCGTCATCTAATATTGGATGTGTAAAATGATTTAATGGCCACTTAATACTACGGTCTAGTGGTATTCATTTTCACTTCTAAGTGAGAGGTCTTAGGTTCGATTCTCACCAAATATGAGTTTGAACCACATTATTGCTAGCCCATTGTGAGGTTTAGCCTACCACCTAGACCTGGCATTTGTGTCGTGTTTCTCGTGTTCGTGTCGTTTTCATGTCATACCTGATAGCTTAACGGGTCGTGTCGTGTAATACCCGTTAAAGTAAACAGGTAATATGACTCGATCCGAAATCAACCCGTTTATATTATCAGGTAATATGACCCGACTCGTTACCCGTTAAGAAAAATATATTTTAAATCAATAAAAATGAAGGGAACTGTTATTAGCACTCCAATAATCTCATTGTACACTCCTCACAAATATATATATATATATATATATATTTTTTTTTTCTAATTATAGAAAGTTTGGAGTGCAAAATGAGAATTTTAAATTGCTAATAATAATTCCCAAAATGAAATTGAAAAACATAATTTGACCCAAAAAAATGTAAAACATCATATTAAATTAGTATATACATACTAAATTTCAGAGTTGACCCCTTCATGAAAGTTGTAAAACTTTTCATTACGAATGATTACATTTTTCACACTTCTACAATAATTATTATTAATTTTACACTCAAATAAAAAAACACTGTTCATGAGATTTGGAGGGTTTTAAAAATCTAAACGACTATGTAATAATCATCTAAGCGTTGATGATGCAATTATGAACGTTTATTGTGCTTTCACATCTTTAAGACTTATACATTAATGATTATGAATTCTATTTATTTTGAACTCCCTTAAAAATACTATTCATGAGAGTTTGTATGGTTTTAAAAGTTCAAACGATCATATACCCATCCTCAAAGCGTAGATGCGACTACGAGTGTTTGCATATTTTTTTCATAAATTAATTATTATAATTTTTTAATGTGTTTGGTATTTTTAAATTACTTGATATTTTTATTTTTAATGTGTTTTATGATTTTTAATCTCAATCATTGCCTATAATATACTATAAAAATAAATAAATAAATAAAACTTAAATTTTAAAATTTATATAGAATAATAATTAATAAACAATATATACATATTCATTATATCTATTGTATTTTATAGTAAATTTTTTTAGTATTTTAAAAAATTAAAATCATCAAAATAACTTTTTTCTTATCGTGTTGAAACAGGTTACCTTCGTGTCACTCTCGTGTAAACCTATTAAGGACCCGTTATTAACGGGTCATTATCCTGTGACCTGATAATGACTCGATTAGTTGTCGTGTTGACCTGAAACCCGTTATTTTCGTGTCGTTTACGTGTCGTGTAAGAAATTGCCAGGTCTACTACCACCCCACCCTTTCAGTGTAAAAATATCGTTTGTTAAAAAAAAAATTCAGATCTTGTGGATTATAAAAATTAAAGCATTGTATTTAAAACATTGATGACATTAGTTGATCTTTGATATCTTCCATAAGAACCATTGAGTTCTCATTGATTTGATTCAAAACTTTTGAACTTTCTCATAAAATGCAACTTTTGTATTCTTAAGGTAATGAATTCGGTGAATAAAGAAAATATATAAATTATATTATATATTATTTGGGTTGAATTCGAGGACGGATACAGATTGAGAGGCCTATAACCATATCCAAAATCGTAACCAAATAATATTCAAGGTTTTTCTCCATTCCCAAATTTTCATACCCACATCTGTTCCATTCAGGCAGTTATCTACTGTTGCCATCCCTACTTATCGGTGATTTTACATTTAGTAAGTTCCAAAAGAATCTTCCGCATTGGAGACACCCTCTGAATTAAGGACTGCCAAGAATAATTGATGGGCCTGAACTTCAGCCTTTTCGATTAAAAACAATCCCAGCTGAGATTTATCATTTGTAGCCCATATCCACCCAATTCTTAGCCTACAAGGGGAAGGCAATCAAGGGCACTGTTCCCCGCTATAAATACTAACACCACGAAGCGAAACCTATGTCACCAATCTGCTTCTTCGTCTCCTCCCTCCAACCTATTCATTCACTCTTTCCCAGTTCTAACTTCTCGCCGCCCCAAACTCCATAACCAAATCCTCTAATCTCTGTTTTCGTTTTATTATTATGGTTTGTAGGAGGCAAGCAGGTGCGATGATGATGAGAAATTTATAATCTCGTTAATCTGATCTTGTATGAGGAGAAACTATCTCATCCATTCATAATCTTTCTGAGCACCTTCTTCTTTCTTATTCTCCTTTATCTTATTTGAACTCAAAGTTTTCCTGCTTTCTGTACTTCTGTTTTCATTTTGTTTTAGTTTTTTTTGGGTTTTTCTTGTTCTGGGTTTATTTTACAATGCGTCGAATTTGTGTGGAAAAAGGTCAGACATCGTGGGGTTTTTTTTGGTCAATAAAAATCGTGGGGGGTGTTTTTTTTGGTCAATAAAATTCGTGGAAAAAGGTCAAAAATTGTTTTCTAATTCACAGAACCCCTTTTGAAGTTGAAGTTGAGAATCTGAAGCAACAAATTTCATCTTAACGGAAGAAATATTATGCAATAGTTAATTGCCATGAGTCTTTTGAATTGGACTAGTCAGAATCTGGGGTTTTAAACTTTGATCGTAACCCCTAAACAAGAATAATGTTGTGTTTGAAAGTGCTTTGTAACGAGGTGCTTTTGGGATAAGTGTTTATTATAAGAACATTGATTTTTTATTTGTAGAAATCTCACATTATTTTTTAAAAATTCATTTATAATAAATTAAATAATTTGTCACTGATAAAGAATGGAACTTTATTGCAAAAAGTGAATCAACTTAAGCATCTAATTTTTTTAATTGGCAAGTGTTCGATCATCTTCAAGAGTCGGATTAATATGAGTAGCCGAGTGATTTCTTTGATTGCCCCCCTTCATTCTTGTCAAGGCTATCATTCACGTTTTTGAGATTTTGACGTAAATCCGCATTATTTTTCAATTTTTATAATTGAAAGCGTAAAATAACAAATTTTGTATTCAATTTTATTGATTTTTTTAGTTTAACTAAATAAGAAAATTTACGGATTTTAGAAAATAAAATCATGTCATTTTAATTTTCGTCATTTTAAATTTTTTTTAGTAATTTTAAATTTTTTCATCCTTCCTCTTTTCAAATTGATGAACTTGTACAAAGACAATTACCTTTTAGAGTAAAAAATAAAGGCAATTTTATGGCCCTTACCATCCAATTGCCGTTACCTTTCACCAACTGGTTGAGATGCTAATGGTGTAGCGCTAAACTTGTTATTTATGTGTACCTCTTGGCATCAATTTTTGAAGCCTTTCCATTATTTATAGAGGAAAATTCGATTTGGATGGATCGATGATTTGAGAAACCTAATCGCTTTGGTTGACTGGTTTGGTTTAGTTGGCTCTGTTCACTTGTGCTCTATTTCTTTTACCTTAATACTCAATAATTTTGCTCACCCTTATTTAATACAGAATTTTCCACTTACGGTAACTTTGATTCAAATTCCCTGTACTTATTTAAATTTCGATGATTCACTAAATTTGAAACATAATGTTCATTGACACACCTCGATCTAGATATTTTCAGATAAACACCAAGATTGATGCATGCTGACGTACACCAAAATAGTAACTACACTATAACATGCATGATGACTTAAATTAAGTGACAAATTATTAAATATACCAAAAATTCCGTTCTGACTATAGAGTTATTGCCAAAGTTAAACACATGTAAGAAACAATCTCGGACTCTCTACTACATGGACAACAACATTCTCATAGCGTAGTTTTAAGTTATGAGTACCACAATCAAGGAAAGATACAAATATATTCAAGTCATACGATCCATTCTAAGATAGATGTTTATAATAGAGAATTACATTAAGAAAAAGTGTCATCCTCAGTAGGAGCATTCATGGCCGACGACGTTTAGGCCTCAATGTCAAAGTAGTTACCACTACTATGTCCTGAGGGGGCAAAATACAAATGAGTGGACAAAAACGAAAATTTTCTAAAATTAATTTCTCTTTTGGAACATACTAATTTCCTGCTTTAATCCTCTGGTTTAGAAACTATATATGCATAAAATCCTTAAGATGCCGGAGGAGCAAAAATAAAATCATTTAGGAGAGGAGTTTTGAACCCAGGACGCATGGGTAGAAACTTAACACCTTATCCATTAGAATATTAGACCACATACCTGTAAATCCCATGTATTTCTCATTCTCAACCATATTGCATTGATATTTCTCGTATAAATTTATTCGAGCTCCAAAAAATATTCTGTAAAGTGTTACGGGAACTTTCATCCCATAGTAATTTTTTTCTCCAAAATACTTACAGATATATTCCAGAGCATCTCTCGAGCTCAAAGGTCGAACATGAAACAAAATAACCCTTCTAGGGTCATTTTACTCATTTCACATAGAATGGGCGAAATTAATAGAAACTTAGGGACGGGTCATAACATCCATACGTTTACTTCCCATATAGACTATATACCATTTTGCTTCTTTACAAATGATAATATATATACTAAATTCATCTAAACTATAAGAAATAAGAAGAGTTTAAAATCAGGATTGTACTATTCTCACACCCCCTTAACCTTGCACACATACCTTTTATTTTTTTGTCCTTCATTTCACTCGATGTACCACATAATTGAAAAGAATGTATGAAAAGTAAAATGATAAGTGTGGATAGCACCACCCTAAAATCAATACGCATAGAGTTAATGAGAAAACCATATATTTTACCAAGACAATTAAATAAGATTTGTCATCCCACATTCCAAATGTGAATACTGTAAAGAATCCTACAAACATAAGAAATGGAGGCAACAAAAAGAAAAGTGAGTGAACGTAGACAATCCAAGTACACAGAGCAAATTCACTTAGTACTACACTCTACTAATATTCTTCTTCACATGTAAAGGAGAGGCTTTAGGTTCAATTCTCACTAAAAGAGAATTTGAACCATATTATTGCTAACCCATTGTGAGGCTAAGTTATCATCTCCCTCCAGTGTAATATCGTTTATTAGGAAAAAAAAAAAAAAAAAGTACGCAAAGCAAAGGAAGGGAATCCACGTACACACCACACCCAAAGTCTCCTGCCCGTAGCCCATGATTTCCCGAACAAAACATCCCTATACAAACAAATCGACAACAAAAATCCAAAAGCCATAAGAAACCCACATCATTAAAATCATCCTTAATTCGGTTCTGCTAATCATACGATAATGGCGCTGGAGACGGTGAAGGAGGACGAAGAAGTTTACAGGTGGAGAGAAGTGCAGCTGCTTCAAATCGCAGAGCTGGAGAGAGAGAAGCTGGTGAGAAGGCGAGGCCGTGACATTGTCATAGCTGTGGATCATGGGCCCAACAGCAAGCACGCTTTCGATTGGGCTCTCATCCATTTCTGCAGGCTAGCGGATACCATCCATCTTGTTCATGCCGTTTCCAGCTAATTCATTTCTTCATTTGCAAACTTTGTTGATATTGTTCTGTATTTTTACATTTTTTTTTATTTTTATTTTTTATGTTAGTATTCGATTTGAATATGAATTGCACACCTCGAGTGTTAAATCTTTTGTATAATTATTGTGGTGAAGAGGTTTTTCCGTGAGACATGTCCTATGAGACTTGGATTTAACAATGGGGTGGCACGCATCTTCGTGGGTTCCACCCCATTGTTACAAGGAGAGTATTGAGAGAGTTCATAGGACGTGTCATATTCAAGATTTGTTTTTTTTTTTTTTTCAACCGTAAATGCATATGAGTCTCATGTTGTATGTTAGCTCCTATCATGCAGCACCTAGACGGTTATCTTGAGCTAACCTCTTATTATTTTTTTCGTGATTAGATGTGAAAAACGAGATTGTTTACAATGCAAGTGAGGGGCTTATGCAGAAGCTTGCTATGGAGGCTTTTGAAGTTGCCATGGTGAGTATAATAAGGGTTGTACTTGGCACAAGCGTAACTTAATGCCCTTTCAATCATGTGTGGAACATTAGCCATGTCTAATTTTATATGTCAACTGTCGATGATCTAATTTGGGGCATCCAAAATTGCACATAAAATTGCACTTAAACAACTTTTGGCCATTGCAATTTCTCAATTAAAGTTGGCAAGATGAGTAGTCATTTGCAGCATCAAATAAATGAGTTCCATTATTTGCCTACACTCGATCTATATTGTTGTGATGAATAAGTGTAATCTAGTCGAATTAATTGGATAATGCCGATATAGCATGATAACAGTAATAATGGATACCCCAATGCAGCTTGAACTGCTTTTATCGGCAAATGTTGACTTGCCAAACTGTCTGAGAACATAAAATGTGTGGTTCCTACATACTATGAATCTAAGCTTTCGATTAATGCCTGATTTTTATATTCATATTATGGTAATATAAACATCTGACGATACAGATTTGTCAAGATAACGTATTTACTGTTATTCTATAGGTAAATAATGTGGACAATTATGAGAACCAACTGTAGGTTATTTTCTTGCATTTGGAATTTCTCACATCCAAAATTTTAAACAATATTTATGGAAGTAGGTAAGGACTAGTGCCCGGATTGTGGAAGGGGATCCTGGTAAGGTAATTTGCAAGGAAGCAGAACGAGTAAAGCCAGCAGCTGTGATCCTAGGTACCAGAGGCAGAGGATTCATTCAAGGGTACCCTTCCTCTCTCTCTCTCTCTCTCTCTCACATAATTCATTTACTCACTTTATTGCTGGGATTTCTTCAGTGTACTACAAGGAAGTGTGAGTAAGTATTGCATGCGCAACTGTAAATCATCTCCGGTTGTAATCGTTCCAGGAAAAGGTATTATTTTCCATCTTATATGTGAATGGAACCAGCTTAAAGTCGATTGCACATAACTTTTTTTTGAAACATAAATATTTGTATCTTGAATTGGCAGAAGCTGGAGATGAGTCGATGATATAGCTAGGGGAGCTCGTGGTATGTATAGAACAGTTTGGCCCTTGATTAATGCTGTGCAATTTCTTTTAGCACCTTGCTGGATTATCTGGAAGTAGTAGTTGGAACTTGGTATGGTTGTAAGACTAGGAATCAATTGGCCAAGTCCTACCGTAAATGGTTATTCGGATGAAATGGTCAAAATGTAGAAAAAGATATGTGGGCTGAAAAGTATATTTCATGGATACGTGATTAAGAATATATACAATTACATTCCTTGCACAACAAGGTATTATCCCTACAAGTTAGGAATACAACTACAATTAAGATTACAATCATATCTAGACTCTAACTATGTTTCTACTTGTCTAACACTCCCCCATAAGTTGGAAAGTGGATGTCAAGAACTCCCAACTTGCGTAACATAGTAAAAAACTTTTCCTTCCTGAGAGGCTTGGTGAACAAATCCTCCAATTGGTATGCCGTACCAACATACTTGGTTTCTATAGTGCTATCTGCAATCTTATCTCGTATAAATTGACAATCCATCTCAATGTGACGAGTCCACTCATGAAAAACAGGATTAGCAGCTATATGTAACGCTGCTTGATTATCACAAAATAAAACGGAAGGACCATCTAAAGGAATGTTCAAATCCTTCAACAAAAACTGAAGCCAAATTAACTCACAAGCACCTGCCATAGCCCTATATTCTGGCTCAGCTAAAGAGAGTGAAACAGTTTTCTGTCGCTTCGTCCGCCATGAAATCAAAGAATTTCCCAAGAATACATAATACCCAGAGTCGAACGGCAAGTGATAGGACAACCAGCCCAATCAGAGTCACAAAATGTAGCTAACTTGGTCTAGTTATTAGAACGGAATAATAAGCCTTGACCTAGAGTAGACTTCAAATAATGAACAAAATGAAGCGCAACATCCATATGAGGTACACGTGGCTCATGCATAAACGACTCAAAACGTGCACGGGATAAGTGATATCCGGCTGAGTTATGGTGAGGTAGATTAACCGTTTTATTAAACGCCGATACTTTTAGGATCCTTGAGAAGTTCTCATTCATTAGATAATTTGTATCATCCATAGGAAGACTTTTATCTGGAGATAAGACTTTAGAGAATCAATGGCACTGATGTCTTTGTCTATAATCACAATATCATCCACATAAATGAGCAAGGTTGTGAAAAAAGTACCAAACTTTCTGGTGAACAGTGAATAGTCAGCTTTGGATTGTTGAAAACCAGCGGAAGGAATGGCACTAGTGAATTTGGCAAACCATTGGTGAGAAGCCTGCTTGAGACCATTAAGGGACTTATGAAGGTGACACACAAGATTCTCCCCCTATCGCCGAAGATCAGGAGGAGGAGACATATAAATTTCCTCATGCAAGTCACCATGCAAAAAAGCATTATTAACATCGAGCTAATGAAGAGACTAAGACTGACTAGCGGCAAGAGCAAGAAGACAACGCACCATAATCATCTTAGCAGTAGGAGAAAAAGTGTCATGATAATTAATACCTTCAGCCTATATGTAACCTTTAGTTACTAAGCGAGCTTTATAACGCTCAATGGAACCATCAAAATTATACTTTAGTTTGTACACCCACTTACAATCAATGGGAACTTTGCCAGGAGCAAGGTAGTCAAAGTCCAAGTACCATTGGCATGTAAAGCTTGAAGCTTCTCATTCATGGCACGATGACAATTAAGGTCACTAGCAGCCTCGGCAAAGGATGATGGCTCCACTTTTCGACTAACAGAGTAAATATATGAAAGATGTTTGGGAGAGTAATGGATGTAAGAAATAAAATTACAAAGTGGATATTGCATACCTTTTGTAGAATCGAGTTGCAAAGTCGAGGATTTATGTGGTGGCAAAATCACCTGCGAGCAAACGTAGTCTTTTAAATAGGATGTGGGTTTATAGGTACGGGAAAAAGTGTGTTGGGTGTGGGGAATGTCAGGATGGGGCATAGGCTGGGAGATGGGGGGTTCGTGGGTAGTTGGGTAGAATCCGAGGCAATATCGATGGAAGGAGTAGGTGAGGTCGGAAGTGTAGTGGTGGGAGGGTGGACAGGTGAGGTGCCAGCATGGGAAGAGGGCGTGGAAGTGGAGGTGGGTGAGGTGGCAGTATGGGAAGGTGGCGTGGTGTCAAGAGGTGGTGGATAGGAAAGGTCCAAAGGAAAGGGAAGAGGCAGTGTAAGCGTTGACGATGGGGTAGGGGTGGGGTTAACGGAAAAAGAGAAAGAATCTTCATGATCCCTACTGGTCAGAGTGCAATGAGTGTCTAGGTCATATAGTTTGTATGCTTTCTGTCCATGAAGGTAACCAAGGAAGATGCAATGATGGGCCTGAGTGAAAATTTAATGGTGGGAATAAAGTGGTGGCATAGGCTTGACAACCAAAGACGCGGAAGTGGTCATAGCTTGGGGTTTTGTTATGAAGAACCTCAAAAGGAGATTTATTATGGAGAAGACAGGTAGGAAGACGGTTTATTAGATAAGCAGCCGTAAGAACACATTCACCCCAAAATTTTAGAGGAAGATATAATTGGAAGCAAAGGGCGCGACCAATTTCAAGGAGGTGCCTATGTTTTCGTTCAACAACGCCATTTTGTTGACGGGTATAACACAAGAAGTTTGAAAAAGGACCCAATTGTTTGAGAAAAATTATGAAGAGAAAAAAATTCGCCTCCATTATCAATACGAATGCATTCGATTTTAGTATGGACTTGGGTATTGACATAAGCAAAAAAATCCTTGATTAATTGTTAAGTATCTGATTTATGTTTCATGAGAAAGAACCATGTAAAGCAAGAAAAATCATCCACAATGGTTAAAAAATAATGAGCTCCGGAAAGGGAAGATTAAAGATTCGGGCCTCAAATATCACAATGAATTAAAGCAAAAGGAAAAGTCGTTTAAATTGAACTTAAACCAAAAGGTTGACGAGTTTGTTTCGCCAAAGGACAAACATGACTAGAATCAAAAGAACAATAAAGAAAACTAGAAGCTAAAGCTTGCAAACGAATAGATGAAAGGTGACCAAGGCGCTTATGTCATAGGGAGGACGGGATGTTGATGATGTTGCAGAAAGGGTGACAGGTGGGGATAGAGGAGGCAAGGGCCACGAGGTAATATAGATCGCCACGTCGCTTACCCACACCAATCATCACCTTCAAAACCAAGTCCTGCAAAACACACAAAGAAGGAAAAAATGTTACGCAACACGATAATCCATCTGTAAGCATACCAACCGATAAAAGGTCCACTTTAAAATTAGAGACACATAAAACATCTGTCAAATTAACCAAGGAATTTAAACGAAGAGTATCAGTTAAAGTAAATAGAGTGGTAGCACCACTAGGCAAAGAAATAGGTGGCAAATGCGAAGCAGAAGTGTTAACTAAACATGAAGCGGAAGAAGTAATATGATATGTAGCTCCACTTTCAAGGATCCATTGACTATGACAAGAAGCTACAGGTAACAAACCTCTGGCAAAGTCATCACTGAAAACGGCATGGGCCTGAGGAGACGAAGAAAAGTCTGCAGTGTTAGTCAGGGCAGCAAGGACACGGGAATGTTGTTCAGTTGAAAAGTGGGGCATTGCAACCTGTACATCATGCAAAGTGGTTTGTCCTTGCTCGTGATGGACTGAGGGAGGGACAATAGCATTGTGGGCCTGGGGGCTGTTGTTGGGCCAAGGACTAGCATTGTTGGTGCTGCGTGCGGGATTGGCAGCTCCATTGCTGTGGGAAGAACCAGTAGATGCAGTAGGCGTGGATGAGCGACGGGGTGGCCGCCATGGTTATCCATGAAGGGGATGACGAACAGGGTAACTGTGAAGTTTATGACAATTTTTGCGGGTGTGAAAGTCTTAGTTGCAATAGGTGCAGTGGAGAGGAGGACGGTCGGAGGAAGTACGGGAAGAGCCACTAACTTCCATGGCTGCAGGTTGGTCTGCAAAACGAAGGGAGCCCAACGAGTGCTGTTTTTTAGCCTGAGAAACAAAGGAACAAGCTTGGCAAACAATGGGCAGAGGGTTCATCAAAATAATCTGGTCCCAAACGGTGGAGAAAGACTCATTAAGCCCCATGAGGAATTGCATAAGCTGCTGCCTTTCATTCTAGATGCCACAAGAATAGGTGCAATGCTCGTTGTACGTGGCAAGTTCATGTAAGAATTATCCAGCAACCGATCACCAAGACCAAAACATGAACTACAAACACAAAAGGACTAATCCAGATATATGCACATTATAAACCAAAAAGTGAATCTTACCTGCAGCAACACCAGCACTTGAGGCCATCGCAGCAATCTCTCAGTGAACCTTCTCTTCTCTTGCAGAATGTTAAGAGCTCGACTCACAGATAGGTTATGGTCCAGTATTAGCATATATATGTGAGAAGAGAGGCCACTATATATACATATAGACTTTTCCAAGACAGATCAGGATTCCCTATCAAAATCCTAATTGGAAACAACCTCTTGTTTCCGCATGCTGACCAAAATCCTTCACTATAAAGAATCAGCATTCCTTTCATCAATAGGACTTTCCATCCCTAATTGAATACCTTCAACTGTTCTCAAAACTTCTCTATCTCATACTCATATTCTTACATTCTCCCACTTGAGTATGAGAAAAGTTTTAAGCACTCAGTTTATTCAATCATACTCAGACAGAAGTGTACACTAAGTCCTGTTAACAAAAGTTTTCAATCACAACCAATCTTACATACATTTCAAAATGTAGAACTCTGAAAATCTTCATCACAACCATAATGCAACAAGGTTTTTCACGAGTCACATACATCCAATTTGTATCTGTACTGTTGTGAACTTCAATTAGTTTCATCAGATAAGCAAAATAATTTGCTCCCACTATTTCACATTATTGACAGCAAAATAACTAATTGCTTCAGACAACATATGAAACAATAGTTCAACAACAACTGCTTATACAGATAAGCTGTTATTCAAGCATCAAATGAACTATCAAGTTTTTTATT